CAGCACCATGTCCAGACTGTCACGGCCCAGGCAGTACATGGAAGCAAGCCACGTCTGCAGGGGCCTGAGCCGTAGCCTGGCATGCTGCACGTAAGTGCAGGACACCATGTGGCCCAGCAGCTTGAGACACTACTTCACCGTGATAGTGGGAAAGCTGCAAAGGCCAGTGATTATGTGTGCCAGGGCTAGATGTCTGGGAGGAATGCTCTCACTTGGTTTGCATCCAGAACTGCCCCAATGAACTCTATTGTTTGAGTTGGGGTGAGAACAGACTTGTTGACATTCAGAATGATGCCCAAACCGTCAAACGTGTCTCTGACCATTCGTACCTGTGATTTTACCTGCTGGCGAGAACAGCCTCATATGAGCTAGTTGTCTAGGTACAGGTAGACATGCACGTGATGGTGGTGAAGAAAGACTGCCGTGACTGCTGTGCATTTGGTGAAGACGCAGGGAGCCATGCACAGGCCAAATGGGAGAGACGTTAACTGATAATGTGTCTTCTTCACCACAAAACGGAGAAAACGTCTGTGAGACAGGGTGATTGAAACATGAAAATAAGTGTCCTTCATATCGAGGGTGGCATACCAGTCTCCCGGATCCAGGGAGGGGATGATCGTGCTCAAGGAGACCATGTGGAACGTTAAGTTGACAATGTACTTGTTGAGTTCCCTGAGGTCCAGAATGGGCTGTAGGCCCCCTTTTGCCTTGGGGACAAAGAAGTAGCGTGAATAGAAACCCTTGCCTCTGAGCTCCTGAGGTACCTCCTCCATGGCTCCTAGGGCAAGGAGGGACTGGACCTCCTGGATAAGGAGTTGCTTGTGAGAAGGGTCCCTGAAGAGGGACGGGCAAGGGGGGTGGGAGGGTGGAAAAGAGCAGAAGTGGATAGAATAGCCCACCTCTACCGTGCAGAGGACCCACTGGTCCAATGTAATAAAGGACCATGCACGGTAGAAGCGGGATAGATGGTTCAGAAAGGGAGGATAGCTGGCTGGGATTTGGACTGGTAATCTGTCCTCGTGCGCATCTTCACAATGGGTGCTTAGGGCCCAGAGGGGGCTTGAACTGTCCCTGGCCCTGCCCTAGAGGAGGATGTGATGGCCTATGCCTAGTTTATCTGCTCCTCCTGCAGGAGAAGTCCTGCCTTGGTCTAGTGGGGAAAGACCACTGCTGAGTGGGCTGGGGCTTAAACGGCTTTCTTTGAGTCACCGGGTATGCATGCCGAGAGACTTAATGGTGTTTTGTGAATCTTTTAGGCTATGCAACCTAGAGTTGGTTTGTTCAGCGAAGAGCCCCTGACCATCGAGCCCCTGGATTGTTTGCTGGACTTCGGGTGGGAGCCCTGAGGACTGAAGCCAGGCGTTACGACATATGGTGATGCCAGATGTAGGAGTACATGCTGCTGCGTCTGCAGCATCCAGGGAACACTTGAAGAGAAGTCCAGGCCACTAGCCTGCCCTCAGCAATGGCTCCTAGCTCCTGCCAAGAATCAGATGGGAGGAGCTCCTTGAACTTTTGCATAGCAGACCATGAATTATAGCTGTATCTGCTAAGGATCACGAGCTGATTAGTGATCCACAGGGAGAGGCCACCCATAGAATAAACCTTTCTGCCAAAGAGGTCCAGGTGTTTCCCACCTCTTGATTTAGGGGCAGGCCCCTGCTGACCCTGTCTTTCTTTTTCATTTACCGCCTCCACCACCAGGGAGGATGCGGGGGATGGGTAAAGAGATATTCATACCCATTAATGGGGACAAAGTACTTTCTTTCTGCCCCTTTGGCCATGGGGGGAATGGAGGCCAGAGTTTGCCAGATTGTTTTGGCACTTGACTGGATAGTCTTAATAATGGGCAGGGCCACCCTAGAGGGCCCTTCTGGTGTCAAAATGTCCACCATGGGGTCCTCTTCTTCTACCACCTCCTCCACCTGGAGGTTCATGTTTAGGGTCACCCATCGTCGGAGCTTCTGCGGGGTCCTGTAGTCCATGGGTAGTGGGCTGGATGTGGACGTACCCACGACTGCCTCATCAGCAGAAGACAAGGAGTACGCGACCAGCAGGACCGGATTAATAATATATGGAGATATACCTAACTCATAGAGCTGGAAGGGACCCCGAAAGGTCATCGATTCCAGCCCCCTGCCTTCACTAGCAGGACCAAGTACTGATTTTGCCCCCTCAAGGATTGAACTCACAACCCTGGGTTTAGCAGGCCAATGCTCAAACCACTGAGCTATCCCTCCCCCATAAAAAGCTACCCTCACCTCCTGTCCCTGCAAAGAGGCACTGTCCCCTGTCGCATGTAAATCACCGACCTCTCTTCTCTCTCAGCACAGACTGCCTCTCTGTGTCCTTGCCCCTCAGTCTGTGCTGATGGGACCCTTCCTTCCAGTCCTGGAGGATTCTCCCTGCTCCTTCTTCATCAAGCAGCCCAGTGAATGGGAATCTAGACAGCCTCTTGTTCTACTGGTTCCTCCTGAGCACCGGTTGTAGCCTCCACCGGGGGTGGGGCTGGGAATGGGGGTTTGTGCAGGGTCTGGAGGAGGATGACTGAGGGTTGCCTCAGGGATATGGGACCCCGAACGTAATGGTGGAGAGACGCCGGGGGACGGCACCCTGGGCTTGGTGGTATGCCCAGAGGGTCCAGAACTGCCACTGGGACTGCCAGTGGTGCACTGAAGCATCCTGTCCGAGACTGCCCGGACCTGATCGAGGTACCTCCGATGCTCCCAGTGACCTACCTGACCTAAGGGAGGGTGACTGGTAGCGGGACAGCCAAGAAGGGGCGGTGCAGGGTTCCAGAGAGGGTTCTGTGTCCCCCAACAGGTGGAATGGGTACTGTGAGGAATGGCAAGATCCAGACAGGGATCAGCGGTGCCATTGTGGAGAGCGGTATTGGGAGATCAACTGGCACCGAGAAGTTGGGCTTCGCTTCGGTGGGGAATGGCAACGGGAGCATGACCATGACTAGTGCCATGCCGGGGAATGGTGCTACAACAGGGAATGGTGCCATGATCGGTGTTGCAGAGAGGTGCGGTGTCGCGATGAGGAGTGGTGTCACTGGGCAGAATGGTATTGGTCTAAGAGGTGCCGGGAGGTCTCAGGTCCTGGTCCTGATCCAGGTCTCACAATGACCACCTCTAGCGGGAGTGGCTCCAAGACCAGTGCCACAAGTCGGACCGGTGCCACGAGTCAGACCGGCGCAGAGCATACATGTGGTGCCGGGACTCAGAGCAGTGCCAGGACTCAGAGCGGCGCGGTGATGCTGGTCTGGGGGCAGATGGCCCAAAGATTGCCGGTTTCCCTCTTGACAGTACCGGGGCTCGAGATGGTGGAGGCCTCGAGACCGGGGATTTGGGCACCGTCATTTCAATGAGTTCTCTAACAGCCTCAAAAGTATCAGGCATGGAGGGTAGCGTGACCTCCTCCTCCTCTAGCTGCAGGGAGTCCGGCAGTGTGGGGCTTCCCAGGGAGGTGGGGCTCCATGCAGGTTGAGACCTACTGGATGGTTTGTCGGCCTTCTGTCCCTGGCCCGCACCGTGCCCAGCCAGGAGTGTGGTGTCCACCTCAAGCATTTGAGGAGGCTTTTCTGTGGCCTGCTTTTTACGGGTGGCTGAGGAGTGGGAGCGGTGCCGGGGAGAGTGCCGGCCCCTTGCATCTGAAGAAGTGAGGTTCTTACCCATGAAAGCTTATGCTCCCAGTACTTCTGTTAGTCTCAAAGGTGCCACAGGACCCTCTGTTGCTTTTTACAGATTCAGACTAACACGGCTACCCCTCTGATACTGGGCCCTAGGAGGTTGTGCCGAGTCCTTTTTCGGTGCTGTAGATGGCACCGCTGGAGAAGCGCTCTGCACTGAGGTGCTTGGGGCCGAGTCTTGTGGCAGACGGAGAGCAGACTCCATGAGGAGTTGTTTTAGTTTAAGTGGGAAGAAGTGAGGTTTTTACTCACGAAAGCTTATGCCCAAATAAATCTGTTAGTCTTTAAGGTGCCACCAGACTCCTTGTTGTTTTTGTAGATACAGACTAACACGGCTACCCCCTGATACTTTAGTTTAATGTCCCTCTACTTTCTAGTTTGAGGTTTGAACGCCTTGCAAATCCTGCACTTATCCACCTGATGGGCCTCTCCCAGACACCGAAGACAGGAGTCGTAGTGGTCGCCTGTGGGCATAGGCTTGCAGCAGGAGCTACAAGGCTTGAAGCCCTGGGGTGGCATGCCCCGGCGCCCTGTGAGGCACTCATTGAAGGGAAAACCCCTTCAAGTGCTAAAGACTATACTTAACTAAAGATAACAATTAACTAACAATGGGTAACTATATACAGAGATAAGTAGAATAGCTAGGGAGTAGTGGAGCACTTGAGAACAAGAGACCACTGTTCCAACAACCGTCACGGGCGGTAAGAGGGAACTGAAGGGGGGGTCGGGCTGGCAGGGTCATATATAGAGCACAATATCAGTGCCACTCCAGGGGGCTCCACAGCCGGCCCGACGGGTACCTGCTAGGGAAAAAGTTTCCGACATCCGTGCACACAGCGCGCATGCACACTGGAATTGATATGAGCAAGCACTTGAAGAAGAACTGGATGCAGTACTCCAGATGTGGCCTTATCAGTGCCAAATAGAGGGGAATAATCACCTCCCTCGATCTGCTGGCAACACTCCTACTAATGCAGCCCAATATGCCATTAACCTTCTTGGCAACACGGGCACATTGTTGACTCATATCCAGCTTCTCATCCACAGTAATATCCAGGTCCTTTTCTGCAGAACTGCTACTTAGCCAGTCAGTCCTCAGCCTGCAGTGGTGCATGGGATTCTTATGTCCTGAATTCAGGACTCTGCACTTGTCCTTGTTCAACCTCATCATATTTCTTTTAGCCCAATCCTCCAATTTATCTAGGGCACTCTGGACCCAATCCCAACCCTCCAGTGCTTGGATTCTTTTCATGCTTTCACAGAAGGAAGAGCACATGTTCTATGATTTCATAGAGCAGAGTTTTAGGATTATTTTGATTCAGGGAACTATGCTATAGGGTGCCTTCCCTGTGTGGATTTGACAGGTGGATCAACATAGATGCACATTGGGACCCTTCTCAGGATGCTGAGGGCTGTGTTGCAACCTGCCATTATTAAGAGGGACTTTTGCATTTGGCAGCTGGATTTTAGTGACCAAACTCACCAGCCTGTTTGGCACTCAAGCACCCTCCTCTGAGCTACAGCAGCCCTGCCAGTTGACAACAGAGGCACCCTAACCCCTGAGTTCCTTCAATGTGTCCCCCTCTGGCGTCCAGCCCTGAGCCCCAGAAACTCAGAGAAATCCCAGATCCTCTCTTCCCAAAGCAATGGTATATCCCAGGTTACCAGCTTTACTATAGACCACTGCTCCTGTATCACACACAGCAATTGAGTACAGTTATTGAACAAACGGAAATGTATTTAACAAGGGATAGAGATTTAAACAGAAACAAATGTAAGTGATGGAAACCAACCATTACCAACAAAACAAAATCACAAAACGCAACCTACACTTTTTAATAGTTACCTTTCCCTATCTAAGTAGGTTCTCACCTCACATTTCAGTCTATTGCAGTGATTGCTAGTCCCTAGGAGCCAGGGCCCTGCCTTTCATGAGGGATCTCCTTAGTAAATGGACCCTGAGTGTTTTTCTCTATCCTGTTATAAACTGAATCAGTCTTTTGTATTTATTCACAGAAAGGACGATCTCCTCATTGTCATTTTGTCCTTTTCACTTCCACAGGGTTTCGATGTCTACAGTTTGTCTTTAATAGTTTTCCATTAGCTTTTCTGGGTTGGTGCAAAGTTTGACAATTGAGCAATACATTGCGGAATTAGGTAGCAAGGGAGAGGTGACAACTCCCTCCCACTTGAATGGGGCGTCCCCATTAAGACCAATGATTGGAGCGACTCATTTTCATGACAATACTATATGGGCATAATTTTCCATGTACTTTGTGATGGTGCTGCCCATGGGAGCCCGCTGAGGTCACTCAATCAGGGTGAACTACAAACAAAACGGGGCAGATAAACCCCAAAAGCTGGTGGATATTCCAATACTTAGATTTACCAAGCCAGCACAAAACAGCTTCTTTAGTACCTCACTGATTACTCAGAAGTCCAAACAACGCAGTTCCCTTAAAGTATCCAGCCTCAGGCTTCCATCCAGACACACCTGTCACATATGATGATGATTACTGAAAATCTTATCTTATCATATAAAAGAAAAGGTTCTTCCAATCCCAAAGGATCAACCATATACCCAGGTTCAATTATAACTCAGATCTTACCCAAAATACATGCTATTAGTCAATTCTTATTAACTAAGTTAAAATTTATTAAAAAAGAAAAGAGAGTGAGTGTTGGTTAAAAGATCAATATACATACAGACTTGAATTCAATTCTTGAAGTTCAGATACATAGCAGAGGTGATCCTGTAGTTGCCAAAAGTCCTTTTAGATATAGTCCATAGGTTATAGTCCAATGTCCATATTCAGGGTGGCTCCAGTCAGTGACTGGGGATCTCAATCCTTGTGGCTTAAGGTTTCCCCCTCTTGAAACCCAAAGCAGATCTGAGATGAAATAGGATCATGTCCCAGGGTTCTTAT